GTCAGCAATCAAATAAATCTTGTTGATCAAGATTAACTTTTATCTTATCCTTCTGCACACAAAGGACAAACTCGTACCTCTCAAAGTAAAGCACTCGTGCGGAGTCACCTATTGTCTCCAAATGTGCTTCCCTACTTTGTGGATGATCAATGTTCATATACGGCCGAAAGCCTGTATATCTAAAGACAAAGGACAAGCTCACCTCTAGAAGCTTGCCACATGTCTTGTACTGCCTAACTTACATTTAATGCAATGAGTATAAATAGCCATGAATACTCTCCTCTTCAAAAAAAAAAAAGATCTCAGACCATCATATACCCAAGAAGAGAGACACATACAAGCACAGACTTCTTAACCTTACGACGTTACGTTTACTTCAAGTGAAAAACATCAACTAAGTTCTCTCTCTAGTGAAGTTATTGCTTCTTCTTTAGCAAGTATTTTCTTCCTTGCTTTCTATATTTTCTGTGTTCTTTAAATTGTTATAGATAAGTTCTGTATCTTGTCTTATTTCGTAAACAATCTGTAAATTCTGTATTGAACTTTTGTATCAATAAAGGATTTTAAAAAGTGAAATATTTGTATGTTTGTATTTACCCCCCCCCCCTCTCTACAAACGGTTACCTTTAAACTCTCGTAAATCCATCTGGGACCAACAGTTCATATGTGAATCACAAGTCTTTATATGTGAATCGGTTAATTAGTCCATATGTGAATCACACGGGTTCATATGTGAATCGGTTAAAATAATTTATATGTTAATTACACGAGTTCACATATGAACATATAGCTCATACATGAATCACATAGATTCATATATGAACTCGTTTGTCGTTTATTTGTAAAAGTACGAAACTACTCTCTCTATTTTTCGAATACCCGCAATTATTGACCAATCAAAGTTGCAATCATTTACCAGTCGGAGCTGCAGTTATCGACCGGTCTAAGTCAATCGTGACCGTATGAAGGGCTAGGATCACTTCTTTAGTTCTAATTCGATTGGTCTAATTCGATCGTGAGCATATATATATATATATATATATATATATATATATATA